AGCACTGAGCCATTGTTTTCATTGTCCTAAGACCCAGCTCTTCTCTCTTTTGTCTTAAGAGCAGGCCAGGGTGAGGGGAGCGGAAGAACTGACATCAGAGAGGATTCTAGCAAACAATGTTACAAGCTTAGGGTAATTTCCCCTATTTACCTCACTCAAAAAAAAAAAAAAAAAAAAAAATTCTTTTTTTTAAATAAATAAACAAACATGTGAAAAGTGCAGGTTTGTGTTTGTTTTGAAGAATTTGAACAGCCTAGGTGTTTTCCCTGGTACTCAGTTTCAAAATCAACAAACTGACAGCCGCCTGAAAAAGGAAAAATGGAGTCAGCTCTGTCCTCATCCTTCCTCAGCAGCGCTCCCAAGTGAAATGAAAAGCGGCTCCGTGGCCCCTGCTGCCCCCAGACTAATGAAGGCACAGTGCTTCACGACGAGCCCTGGGCTGCCCTGGCCACGGTGTCCTCACGCCAGGTGTCGGGAGGGGAAGGAAGAAAGATCGCCTTGTTTGTACGTTTGGTTGTCTCACTACTACTAGGCTGGTAAAATTGTTTTTTCTGAGAGCTTCTTGTTCGTCTGGCTTTTAAAAACTTCTTAAGCTTCCTTTTTTTTCTTCTTCTTCTTTCTTTTTTTCTTCCTGAAGGATAAGAGAGATGCAAACTTTCCACAGTGTTAACTGTCCCAGATTTTCCCCCCACTGTACAATTGAGTGGCAGCAAGGCGGTTCTAAGAGGCGTGATTTGTTTATAAACATATCTGGAAATATTTTAAACATAAAAACTGCCAAGGGTAGGGCTGAGTCATAGCCAAGTCATGAGAAGCAAGATGTGTGTTCTGGAGGTGGGCGTTAGCGCCCTGCCAGACGTAGTTTTGAAGTAATTTAGGGTCAAGTGGAAACACTGGTGGTACTTACCTACGGTATCTGATTATTCTTACCGTCGGTTTTAGGTTCTAGAGAGAATGGCTTCTAGCCTGCTGGGAAGCTGATCTGAGTGGCTCTATACTTTAAACACAATCCTGTTTTGTAGAGTTTCTTAGATGAATGCTGACAGGGCGGTATTTAAGGAACAGCTTCGTGTTTGTGTCTGCCCCAGCACTCACCTTTATTTCCTCTTGCTTCCTTCCCTTTGTGCTGCCTCGGTCCCTGGCTGTGACACAGACAGTGGAGGAGACTGCCTGGGGACCAACAGAGGATGGGGAAGTCGTTAGCATGACTAAACTTGCCCTTCCCAGGTTCAGTCCACCACCTTTCTATTCTGTTCTTTCTCTTCTAGTCTAGTGGGAGCGCCTCTTCAATGGCTTTATGTAGGGGGTAGGGAGGGGATGTTTGGTCAAAGGGCGTTGAGATGGGAACAGGAGAATCAAGGAGAGGAAACAGGGGGCCAGAGATAAAGAAATCAGGGCTAGAAGAAGAGAAATAAATAGAAACAAAGATGATGAATAATCCCAGATACAAAAGAGGGAGCAAGACGAGAGGACAGTGGGACACGGAGATGGTCCTGCAGAAAGAAACAATTCAAAAATAGAAAAATGGGAGAAGCCCTGAAAACAAACAAACTGAGAAGCCCATGCAGGAAAGGAAAGAACCAAATGCAAGTAAGAAATGGAACCCCAAACAGAAAGGACGTCTGAATGAGAAATGTGACTGAGGGAAGCAACAGAGAAGCCTTTGTGGTGTTCTTGTAGACCAGAGGGAGAACAACAGAACAGAGGGAATCCAGGAGTGTTTATTCCTTGCACCCAGCAAACAAAAAATTCATTATTTTTTAATCATGGAAGATACAGCTCTAAGAGAGAGCACCAGGCCTTTCATGCTATCAGTCTGGCTCTCCCTCATCTTAATCCCTTAGGACTCCTTCAGAAGTGTAAGGAGACCCAGCATGAGGAAAACCAGCATGAGGAAAACTACCCAGATGACTATTAAATAAAGTTGATTTTAGAGAGATATGTTCTCCCAGGCCCTAAAGCTGGGGCCCCTGTCCCGGGTGGTAAATGATCTCGAGCTTTTTGGTCTCTATAAATCTCGGGTAAGTGACAAAAATATCTTGGTTCCCAAAAATCTGGATAAAAAAATGAAATAATTATTTGCATGACTCCCATTTCAGAAATTGCCTTACTATTAATAACTTAGAAGTTGCCTTCTAAGTTTAAATAATTTAACAAGTGGAGTAATAAAAAAATGTAAGTAAAGCATAAACTGATAAATGCAACACATACCCAGGAGAAGTAAAGATCAGTTATTTCATTACTGCAAATTGCTGTTACTAAACATTATGATAAATTATCAGAAAGATGCCTTTCCACCCCTTCTATAATTTCAGGTTATTAATTTTATTCATATACAAATAATTCTTTCCTCCTGTGCCTCTCTTGCCTTCTTCCTCTAATGAGGAAACAGAAAAAAATATGCAGTAGATGAAATACTCAAATTGGAGCCGAAGCAAATGAAAAAAAAAGATATCAGAAACAAATAGCATTATCAGCTTTTAGCCCCGTAAAAAGCTCTTATTTATTTAGACCCTATTAATTTGGAATTTATAATAAGTTGATTGGGATCTGGGCAGAAATTTTCCTTCATTTAGCAAACTCTGTCTTGCTAAGTAGTACAAAAGAGTGATATAAATGAGATTACAAAGGGAATGTTTGAAATACATCCTTGAGCACTTAAGGCAATCTCTTATATATGAATAATTAATACATGAATACATATCATCCTTATCCAATAATTATCTGGTAATTCAGGAGGAATTTGTTAGGTCACTCTGCAGAGTAGGGAGCTGTGGGTTTATCACTAAACAGCTCTCTGACCATAGGCAAGGCCCTTAACTTCATCACCCCTTGTTTTTCTTACCTGCAACATTAGTCTGATAACACCAAATTGTCCCAGTTCAAGGGATTTTCATGCACACAAAAGAAGAGAATGTGTGGGAATCCATTTTGAAATCTCTATTAGGAAAATCTATTTTATTTAAAATGAATTTGCGATTCACACTTGTCACTAATTCAATCTGACCTTCTGCCCAATTGTCTATAGTAGTGAGGTCTTAATGCTTTATAAAGCTTCAGTGAAAGGAAATTCCCTGACAAAATACATGGACATAAACACACACATACAGATATAAACATTTATCCTCTTTCTCCTCCTTCAACCCTCAAGAGATATTTGGGGTCATTTTTGCTGTTCTGAGTACACTAAATAAACTTCACAGGCTACAGTTGAAGAAAGTTGTGTATACTGGAAAGAGTCTCAGTGTTGAAGTCTGACAGGCTTGAGTTCAAATTCAAGATCTTCCAAACAGATGAGTTAGCCTAAAGAATGACCTCCTCCAGCCCCAGTTTCTTTGTTTATAAATAATAATACCAACTGTATAGAAGGTGCCTGAGTGACTCAGTTTGGGTGGTTAAACGTCTGACTCTTGATCTCGGCTCAGGTTGTAATTTCACAGTTTGTGAGTTTGAGCCCCACTTTGGGCGCTGTGCTGACAGCGCAGAGCCTGCTTGGGATTCTCTCTCTTTCTCTCTCTCTGCCCCTCCCCTGCCTGTGCACACATATGTACTCTCTCTCTCTCTCTTTCTCTCAAAGTAAATAAATGAACTTTAAAAAAAAGACTAGAGGTGGGGCGCCTGGGTGGCTTAGTAGGTTAAGCGTCCAACTTTTGCTTAGGTCATGATCTCGCGGTTTGTGGGTTCGAGCCCTGCGTTGGGCTTTGTGCTGACTGCCAGCTCGGAGCCTGGAGCCTATTTCAGAGTCTGTATCTCCCTCTCTCTCTGACCCTCCCCTGCTCACGCTGTCTCTCTCTCTCCTAGAAATAAATAAAAATATTAAAAAAAAAAAAAAAGACTAGAGGAGATAATGTACATAGCATAGTGCTTAGCACAGAGTGGGCACTCCAAAGAGGCGATGATTATTAATATGAAAGATAAGTTGCCATGGAGTGCTATTTGCATTGGAGAAAATACTCAAGACTCATCACTTTGAATCTCCTGCTCCTAGTACAACTTAGCTCCCAAAATGTGAAGCCAAGTAGAGTCATAATTACAGTGTCCTGTACAGACTTTTTTTTTTTTTTTTTTACACATAGACAAACTGTATTGCTTTTGGTGAAAGGTAAATTGCAAAGTCTGAAAATAATGTTTCCTCAGTTTTAAGACACTCGCTTTCTCACATTTGAACATTTTAGAAATCAAAACAAACTTTAGAATATTTGTCAAGATAAACATGTCAACTGCTAGGTATAGGAGTTGCTAAGAGGAATTGTCAATTGCTTGTGATGAGTGAATTCAGCCAAATCTTTCAAAATAAAGAATTTTAAAAGCCAGGAAGTATTGGTGTTTATGCTTCACTCAGTTGCAAAACATCTGTCTGTCAAGCTTTTCAAGAGAAGCTGTTGAACTTCCTGCAAGAAGTAATCAATTAAAAAGAACTTAAGATTCAAAATCAGGTGCTACAGAGGTCAAACTCACAGGCACTTTTATGAATGTGTCACCTCTGCTTGCCAACTGCCAGTGCTCTAGTGAATCCACGGAATCTGTAGAATATGAGTGAGGATGGTGGGTAATTAATAATATGAATAAAATGTATGCTGTTTGTTGGTAAAAAAAGAAAAAAAACGAATTGCATATATTCAGTGTTATATTTCTGGTTTTCTTTCTGAATAAAACTGTCATTTTGATTAGATAAAGTAATCTTTCTTCTGATTGACGGAATCAACAGAGAAAGCTTCTAGCTTTTAAAGACATGGGTTAATATATAATTAAATTCAAACTTGAGATGTCTGCACTTTACTGTATGTGTGTTATACTTCAATACAACATTTAAAAATTAGAAATAGATGTTCCTGTGTGTTTAGCTTGAATAACTGCAGATTTATCAAAGTATATAAACAGTTACAGCTTTTGAACTAGTAAGTATAATGTTTTTCTAAGTTTATTTATTTATTTATTTTTAGAAATCTTTACACCTGACATGGGGCTCAAATTCATGACCTGAGATCAAGAGTCACATGCTCTTCTGACTGAGCCAGCCAGCCACCCCTGAACTAGTGAGTATAATTAATCATTTATGGAACTTACCTTTTGGGCTAAATCCTAAGCACTTTACGCATGTTAAAATTGATTAAGAATTTACTCTGTGCCAGATACTTACTTGGAAGAGGTCTACCAACATCTCATTTCATCTTTAAAAGACCTTATGAGGTGGGTATTATTATCCTTACGAAGAAGGAAATGTTTCTATAAGGCACATATAAGTTAGATACTTATACGAGGTCATAAAGCTGGAAAATGGTCCAGGAAAAATGAGAATCTGGGCAGTGTGATTCCAAAGTCTTGCATTATGTACTTTTTCACAGTCCTCCTCAACAATCTACACAATAGGTTCTATTGTTCTTACTTCACAGATGAGCACTCTAAAACTCAGAGAGGTTAAATACTTTGACCTTGTAACTGAGAAAGCCAGGATTCATACCTCGTCCTGTCTCCAAAGACACCTTTGGTCCTCTATCATAGACAATGTGATCCCTTTCTTGAGGACATGTTCTTCAGACATAGCTTTCTTTAAAAAAAACTTAATGTTTATTTATTCTGAGAGAATGAGAGACAGAGAGCGAACAGGGGAGAGGCAGAGACAGAGGGAGGCACAGAATCCGAAACAGGCTCCAGGCTCTAAGCGGTCAGCACAGAGCCTGATGGGGGACTCAAACCCACAAACCGTGAGATCATGACCTGAGCCGAAGTCTGACACTTAACCGACTGGGCACCCGGGTGACCCAGACATAGCTTTCTTTTACATCACATCACAGTATACTCTAGGAATGAGGTTGGGGTGGGGAAAGAGGGGAGGAAAGAAAACCAAAGGAATAGCTCTTAGAACTTCAAGGGAGTTGCCCTGGAGTTGCATATATTGTAATTTTCCTCTTGAAATGACCTTCTTTGGGCGCAGTTGCCATTAAATTTAGTTCACATCCATTTGGATATTATGCCGTGAAGTTTTCTAACTTAGCAACATCCCCTTCCTAGTTTGTCCCTATACACCTAGCCCCCGTAAGAGAAAAAACAAAACAGAACTTTACAAACTGTATTCCTCAAACTTAGAAACCTCACACAGACAGTCACTGCTGTTGTGCGCAAAGAGACACCAACCAGGGGATGCCAAGCTGTGTTCCTTGATGCCAACCTGGAAGGTTAGGCCAATTTTAGCTTCCTCTGTGACTTACCATTTGTAAGCTAGTTCTAACCGTTTGAGATTCCAACTATACCAATTTTAAGAAATGCTAGTTTCAACAACCATTTATCTTGGGCCATTTCAGTTGTCTGCACTTTTCTTTATTAGTAACTAAAAATTATTATTGGAGTCACCACCACTGCCTGTGGAAAAAAAGCTTCATTTCTCCCCACTCTGAAGACATTTACAATAATGACTTGGGAACTTGCAGTGGAGAGAGACCATTGAACAACAGTCTACTCTTTGGGTGTTTTTAGCATTTCAGTAGCCATGTACTATGTGTAGCTTGAGAAATTTTGAAAGAATTTTCTGAATGTTGGGTTCTTGAAACAAAGGGAAATAGATATTGGAACAATTTTACAAAATTGCCAATCTTGGGGTGCCTGGGTGGCTCAGTCGGTTAAGCGTCTGACTTCGGCTCAGGTCATGATCTGACGATTCATGGGTTCGAGCCCCGGGTTAGGCTCTGTGCTGACAGCTAGCTCAGAGCCTGGAGCCTGCTTCAGATTCTGTGTCTCCCTCTCTCTCTGATTCTCCCCTGCTCACATTTTCTGTCTCTCTCTCTCTCAAAAATAAATAAAACATTTTAAAAAATTAAAAAAACAAAAAATATTGACAATCTTTGGGGGAAATTAACAGACTATAATAATTTGCTAAGAAGAGCATGTTCTCATTTCCACATGGTTCACTATTCATAAGTGTCCCTTATAATAGTGTGTATTATGAAGAAAGGTTGGGGACAGGCACGTGGGTGGCTCAGTCAATTGAGCGTCTAACTTCAGCTCAGGTCATGATCTCTCATTTCATGAGTTGCAGCCCCACATCAGGCTCACTGCTGTTAGCGGACAATGCTTCTAATCCTATGTTCCCCTCCCTCTCTGCTCCTCCACTATATGTGCTCTTTCAAAAATAAACATTTAAAAATATATAAAGGTCAGCATCAACCTAAACAATAAAAGTTAAAACTTTATTATTGTTTTTTGAATGTTTTATTTATTTCTGAGAGAGAGAGAGAGACAGCATGAGCAGGGGAGGGTCAGAGAGAGAGGGAGTCACAGACCCTGAAACAGGCTCCAGGCTCTGAGCTGGCAGTCAGCACAGAACCCGACGCGGGGCTCGAACCCACAAACCGTGAGATCATGACCAAAGTGAAAGTCAGACGCTTAACCGACTGAGCCACCCAGGCGCCCCAAAGTTAAAACTTTAAAACCCGTTTTAGTGAGACCTTTCATTAACAACATTTATGAAGGAAGAGGTTAAAAAAAAATTCCACAGTCTACATGTTTTGAATGTTTGTCCTTTTAAATAGTGGGTTAAGGGGTGTGTCCTTTTCTTTTCTTTGTATTCTATTTCCTTTCCAGCTGTTACATAGGGACATGGTTAACACCTTCAGCCATCAAGGCGGTTGAAAAAGAAAATAATCTGTCCTTCTGGACTCTAGTTATGGGTCTGCACCCCAGCACCTGTTAACTAAAAGTCAAAACTCCATGGACGCCTGGATTCCAAGCTTAAACCTCCACTCACAAGCAAAAGAGTTGGATAGGACGTGGGGACAAGAAATTGTTTGTTTGTTTGTTTGTTTAGAGAGAGAGAGTTCTCAAGGGAGAGGAGCAGAGAGAGAGAGAGAGAGAGAGAGAGAGACTCCCACGCAGGATTCATGTTCAGTGCAGAGCCCCATGCTGGGATCATGACCTGAGCTGAAATCAAGGATCAGACACTGAATTGACTGAGCCACCCAGGTGCCCCCCAAATTTTTTTTAATTAAAGAAGTGGAACTTACAAACAATGATAATGAACCTTTAGCTGAAAAATACTAGACTTTCTAATGTATTTGAATATTCAGAGCCGTGATATGAAAGCCCCTTTTCATATTTATTGCAGTAGGCTAAGCAATCATCCACCCAGGGCAAGTCCTTCATCTGGTCACCAGAAAAGAGAGTCTCAGGTGGACTCAGGTAAAGTGTCTGTTTACTGAGGTGGAGCTGTTTTTGAGAATGTGTGATGGGTCTAATTTTCCTGGTGCAGAACTCTTAGGCCAGGCTCTTTATTAGGAAAAGAGGAATCTGCAGAGCATTGAGTTCTTGCCTGTCAGTCAGGGCCTCCCTGGCCACAGCTACATTGATGGGGGGATCATAGGCTGCACAATGCATAGCCTAACGTTGTGTTTACAGATTTCCATATTAGTGCTAAGTTCAAATGCCTGCTTTGCCACTTACTAGCTTTGTGATTTAAGGAAAGTTACTTAACTGCCCTAAACCTCACTTCGGTCATCTGTAAAATGGGGATAATAATGGTCGCTATCTTACAGGGTTGTTTAAGGGCCAACGTATGTAAAGCCTTTTAGCATAGCACCTGGCACATCACATGTGCTAAAAAATGATTGAAATGTGTTTCCACCCTTTTATTACTTAGCCCATTTTTAATTGTGTGATTTGAATGTTGTGTGTGGTTTGTATGTTGTGATGGCAGTTTATAAAACAATTCACACCACTTCGAGGTTTCATGTGTAGTAGAAAGCTTTGAGTTCTGCCGTGGAAAAGGGCATTCTGTTGGCTCTCCTGTAGAGGAGTTCAGGGGATAATTGGCCTCTCCCACCCTCCAAGCCCCGAACTCCATCTGTCAGACTCTGGAAAATGCAAAAGGGCCAGAGTGAGATGGCTACCTGCTGTGGAAGCTGAGGGTCCCCCTGCATCCCCAGCACCCTGTTCTCTGGCCCTTGGGCCTAACACTGTGTGTGGACATGGAGAGCAGCTGTCACTGTATTTGTGAAGGCACCCATCTGGGAGAGGGCAGCATCCAGTGCTGCATCCAGAAAGACAGCATCTAGCAGAAGGGACATGAGTCGGTTCACTAGGGGTCTGGAAGGTGACACCCTTGAGATCAAGTAGGGGAAACTGGTGCCCAGAGTAAACACCAAGACCCAGCATGGAGGCCCTCAAGTCCATTCCTGGAGCTGATTCATATATTTAGACAGCTTCTCCCACCACCCACTCACAGGCCGACAATGGGAACTCAAAGAATAGAGCCTTCCTTCCTTCCTACTCTGACTGCAGGCCTGTTGGTCAGCAATGGCCTCAGGGAATTGTAAACTTTTTGGAGAAAGAAATCACAGGCGAGGGCTACAAACAGACAATTCAATGAAAATCTATTCAATTTGAGGAGGCCTGCAGTGCTCTGTACTGAGCTCCGGATACAGTCGGGGAGGAGCCTGGATGCTGCCCTAAACACCAACCCTCTTCAACCCTTTTCTCTCTTCCATTGAGCCTACTTCAAACCTTCTCCCTTGTTAAAAATCAATTAGGAAGAGGGGTGACTGGGTGGCTCAGTTGGTTAAAAGTCTGACTCCGGCTCAGGTCATGATCTCACGGTTCGTGATTTCGGGCCCCGCATCAGGCTCTGCACTGACAGTGCAAAGCCAGCTTGGGATTCTCTCTCTCTCTCTCTCTCTCTCTCTCTTTCTCTCTCTGCCCCTGTCTCTCTCAAAATAAGGAAATAAACTTTAAAAAGTCTTAAAAGGAAAAAAAAAACAACAGGGAAAAGACCAACACGTAGTAGAAAAATGGGCAAGGACATTATATTTGTCAGGGTTCTCCAGAGAAACAGAACAATAGATAGACAGATAAATAGATTTATTATGAGGGATTGGTTACATGATTATGGAGACTGAGAAGTTTCAACATACGCTGTCTGTAAGCTGGAGACCCAGGAAATCCAGTGATGTAATTAAACCCAAATATGAAGGACTGAGAACTGGTGGTATAACTTAGTCCTGGGACAGGAGAAGATGAAATGAGGCAAGGAAAACAGGGACGAATTCCTCCTTCCTCTGCCTGTTGTTCTATTCCGGCCTCCACCAGATTAGATGATGATCACCCATGCTAGGAAGGATGAGCTACCTTCCCGAGTTTAGCAAGTCAAATGCTAATCTCATCTGGAAACACCCTCACAGACTTACTTAGAAATAATGCTTAGTCTAAGCCCCTATGGCCAGTCAACTTGACCCGTAATACCAATCATCATGACGTGAAGAGAATACAAGTTCACAGCTACCCATTTTCCTTGGAAGACACTTGTATGTGTGTCATTGGGGCTCCTGGGTGGCTCATTCGGTTGAGCATCCAACTTCGGCTCAGGTCATGATCTCACAGTTCATGGGTTAGAGCCCTGCATCAGGCTCTGCGCTGACTGCCAGCTCAGAGCCTGGAGCCTGTTTCAGATTCTGTGTCTCCCCCTCTCACTGACCCTCCCCTGCTCATGCTGTCTTTCTCTCTCTCTCTCAGAAATAAATAAAACATTAAAAAAATTTTTTAAAAAGTGTGCACAAGGAGCAGGTTAAATAAGGTGTGCTTCACAGTGGGGTGGGTTTATTTGTGTGAATGTGGAACCATCATCAAGATACGGGTTAAATGAAAAAGTGTGGTTCAGAAAACGTTTCTTACTTTAGACTTGCCCTCTAAAGAGGCTGTATGAATTTACACTGTGTTATACTCCCCCCAGTCACTGCTAATGTAATTTATTAGTGAATATTTTTATTTTGGCCAATCTGATAGATGAAAAATAAAATCTTGTTTCATTCTGGGTTTTTATTTTTAACTGTTAAGGAAAGAATGAATTCATTCTTAACAGCTTTTCTTGCCTTGCCTAACAGAGAAATAGAACCCTCAGTGGGAACACCTTCAGCCTGTCCCCACAGCCAAGTGTATGCTCTTTCCTCGCTCACCCTATCTTTCCACGTTCTGTACCCTCCCCAGTCTCTGGATGCCAATCTAAGCTTTCCCCTAGGACCCTGCCTTTCTTTGCCCAGCACTCAGCCCCTCCTTCCCCCCTGAGTTTTTATCATTGATATTTAAATTTCACCAGACAGATCTTAAACCACCACTTAGCAGCTGCCCCAGACCCTCTTTTCCTCTTTTTGGTTAAGCCTCTGGAAAGAGTTGCCTAAACTGCCTATCACCTGCTTCTCTCCCTGTGCTCACTCTGCAACCTGCCTTCTGGCTCTACCACTCTCCTTGAACTTGCCCCTCCAAAATCTCAAGTGACTTCCGTGTTGCTAAAATCACTGCACCCTTCTTGAGCATTCTCATCTGCTCCTTCAGCTCCTTCAGTTACCATGTCTATATCTTTTGTCTAGATCCCTCAATAACTAACTAGCTAATTAAGTAACTGACTTGCTTGTACTGGTCAGGGGTCTCAGGGCAGCTCAGCCTCAGCATGCCCAAACCTGTCTGTCTCCCAGTGCTCTCTCTCTCTCTCTTTCTCTCTCTCTCTCTCAGGGGATGGCTCTGTCATCCATCTAGTTGGCCAAGCCAGGGACTTGGGAGTTGTTCTGTAACCTTGCCCCTCCCCTCCCCTCCTATGGCCAACCTTCCAGTTACCCTTTGAATCTTCCTCCTCAACCACTATGGCAGTTCAGGCCACCATTTTCTCTGGGATGTTCTCTGAGGAGGCTTTTCCTCATTCAATTCTCTACACTCCCTGCTATAGCCCTTTCAAGGGCTTCCTCCTACCCGTAGGATAAATTCCAAATTCCTTAACATGGTTACAAGACCCTTTGCAACCTGGTCTCATTCACCAATAACCCTCTTGCATTCTAAGATTCAGACCTATTGAACTTCCTACAGTTTTTTAATGCCTAACATTCTTGCTCACTTCTGAGACTTCAAATATGGCATTCCCTCTGCCTCTTCATTTTTCTTCTTTTCTTCTCTGGGATAACTTCTACTCATCCTTCATTGTTGGTTTGAAGCTCTCTTCCTCCAGAAACTCTGAATGTGATTGCTTCTTTAGTTCTGATTCCTCCAATTAAGATTCAAATTTAAGACAGAGTTTATGCCCTCCTAAAACATCACTGTACCCCTCCCACTGCTATGTGTCAGACAACCACTGCAGAACTGATGAATGCTTGACCACCCCCCATTTCACAATGCATTTTGTAAAATATTTGTTGTGTTTATTTATTTATGTTGAGAGATACAGAGAGGGTCAGGGGCAGAGACAGAAGGATATAGAGAATGCCAAACAGGCTCCACACTATCAGCGCAGGGCCTGAAGCAGGGCTCGAACAAACAAACCACGAGATCATGACCTGAGCCAAAATTAAGAGTCTGATGCTTAACCAACTGAGCCACCCAGGCACCCCTCACAATGCATTTTAATGAAGAAGGATAAATGGAGTCTTGCTGCTTTTGTAGAATCATTAAGGAGGAAGTAGCTTAGCCAGAGATACCCTATAGAGTTAGAATTATAATTCTGACTAATCTGTTAGTGCTGTCCCTCTGGTGATAGATATTAAAATTTACAGAAAAGTTTTTTGATAGTACATCCCCTCATCTTCTTTTTTAAAACCCTGTGTGTGTAAATGCATGTATGTGTGTCAGAGAACAGCTCTGCCAGATTGGTTTTTGTAGTCCAGTAGTTTGAACTAAAAAAAACCTGTGAGAAGATTGGTTTTTAGCAAGTTTTCCAACAATAATCTTGAGGCAAGACAGTGGGAACTGTGTATTTAGGAATTTATTTTCGTGGCTGCTGTACACAAATACAGTTTGTATTACTTAAATTTTAACACATAGGCACCTGAAGTGCACTGTTGACATCAAATAGCATACACATTCCAAGGCTCAACGCTGACCAGCGTCAGAATTACAAGTGTCAGTCGTTGGCAGAAAACAAAGTGTTTGGAAGCTAGAAAGCATGGCTGTTTGCTCAGATTAATTCTGAGAAGGGGAGATGGAATCAATGAGCATGTGAATGGAAGCAAAATTCGGACAGAATTTCTAGGAATGCAGTCAGAGTGAGAGCAAACCTTTTAGAAACAAAAAGAATTTAAACACCAAGTTGAATAAATGAAACAGGAAAAGAAATGACATCGGCCTAACTGTGAAAGGAAGAGAACTAAAGTAGTGAGTTCTTAGTGAACCTCATGGAATTCCCAGTAAGAGGACAACAAAGCAAGAAAACATGAGTGTTCACACTGAGTGTTCAAAGCAGTTTTCTTTTCCTTAGGTCCACAAGTGTAAGGAGGTCCCCACAATCCATCCAAGGTCCCCACCTCAAAACAGGCCCCTTCCAGACACTATAGCCTCTTCTGCTGCAACCCTTCCCACCTTCAGACTCACTCGGAAAAACCTGAGATTCTCCTCACCCAACCACCAGCCTGAGTCTTTTCAGCTCCTACTAGTTAAGAGCTCTAGGATCTGTCTGTCCACAGCCACGAACCTGGTACAAGCCCCACCCCCACCTCCCACACCTCCACCACCACTACCACCAACGCAGCTCCTGCCTGGCCTGAGGGCAGGCAGGAAGGAGCATCTGTGCTGTCTGAGCAGTGCGATCTAGAGATGGATCGCTGGGTCACAGTCTGGTTCCAGCACTTTCCAGACAACCAGTGCTTGCTCAGTTTTTCTGTGTCTCCATCTCTTCTTCTGTGAGAAGTTGGGGACAGTAGCATCTGGCCCACAGGGCTGTGTGAGGACTAAATGAGCTGTGTAAAAAGGCCATAGAACAATACGTGGTCCGTAGTAAAACATGTTACATAAACATTAGCTACCATTATTCCTTATTTCCTTATTCTCATGCTTCCTTTCTTGACTCATTTGAACCTATTTTCCTGGAACAAATCATGTTCAAATAAACTCTGATCCTTCAGCTTACTGCTAAAAACACTTGGAAAATTTCCCTATAGCTTTTAGGGAAATCCTAAATGCTTAAAGAGGCTACAGGGCTGGGCTTGGGTTGGGCCCTGTCTCCATCTCCAGCCCCATCTTGTACCCCATCCCTCTGATCTCAGAACTTCAGACTCTCTGACCTTCTTTCAGTTCTTCAAACCCTCGGAGCTTCCTCTCACCTCAGGGCTTTTACACAAGCTGCTTCCTCTGTCCGGAATGCCTACTCATCCTTCCCGTCTCCACAAGAGCCTCATCACTTCCTCAGGGAAACCTTGCCCAGCCTCCCTAACTAGGTCAGCCCTCACTACGGCACCATGTCTTTTTCCTCCATGGTGCTTCTCAGGATCCTCCTCTGACACATTTTCATGTGGTAATTAGATTTGCGTTTCTCTCATTCCTACCGTGGAAGCTCTATGAAGGCAGAAACCATGTCTGTTTTCCATTTATTCCAACCCTCAGAGACTAGTGTAGTTCCTGAATGTAACACAGTGGGTGCTCAATTAATATCTTTGAGATGTGGAGGGGAGCCCATACATCCATACGTATGCCCAAACGTCCCTGACTGTTCTGGAGGCCACCCTGCTGTGAGGGTATGTGGTGGGCTTAAGGAAACCTCCCCACCACAAGCCTGTGAGCTCTTTCCTCCTCATGCTGCCTTTGATTCTTTAATGTGTTTTTCATTCTCAATTAAATTCAAGTGTTTATTCTTAGGAAAAAAGGTCCTCACATTGGCATTATAATGTGACCTTTGAATGCAATTTGTGGCATATTTTTTTCTCATGCAGACATTTTGTGGCTCCAAGGAAGGACAAGTCCTACACATGAGGTTGCAGGGGAATAAATTCCCCCCAGCTACATCCAAATGGGATTCTTGAGCCTCTGTCAGCTTGCTCCCTGGTATTTCCATCCAATACCAAAAAGTGATCCACATAAGGAGCTCCAGCACCAGCAAAAGGTAACGGAAAGGAGAGGGGAGAAAGAGAGGGCTTCCAGGTTCCCCAATGCCACCATCTAGGGAAAGCACCAGAGAATGAAGGTCAGGATAAACAAAAGGACTCCTTTCTCTGAACTAAAAGCAGGAGAGATAGGCATTCCTTTTGCTGCATGTGGGTGAATAGAGATGAACTCCAGAAGAATCAGAGAAAAAGGAATGTCAAAGTTGAAAGTTATGTTTTACCCTCAATCCAACCTCATTCTTACTTGCAAGAACCGGATGAGGGGTGGAGAAGTGAAAAGGGTTTGCCTGAGGCTACAGAGAGGCCTGGGTTCTACAGGGGGGCTAGAGAAGGGAGCTGAAGTTTTTAGTGGCTTGACTTTGAGTTCCTGTCCATAGTTCAGGGACTTTATCCTGGTTAAATCCTGACATAACCGTAGGAAGTTGTGTCATTACCTGCATTTTACAGATTAAAGCCCTGATGGTCAGAAAGGCCTGGTACAAGGACGAAAGCTGTTCAGTGGAAACTTTCTGAGGCTAACACTGTAAAATATCCTTGGCCTTGACTCTGCACCTGAGCAGCCGTATCTATAGGGTGACACGTGCTGTGGTTCACCTGAGGCAGTCCTGGCTTATACCTGTTGTCCCAGGGTCAGTAGTAACGGTACCTTCTTTTGCTCTCAAAAGTGCCCCAGGTGGGATAATACATTTGTCATAGCATCACCCTGGTATCTACAAAATGGGGGTATTTACATGCCCTGCCCATGGAGTTTTTGCAAGGAATCAATGGGATTTTGCATAAAAAATGCATGGCATCTGGCACATAGTAAGCACTGAATAGATATTAGTGTTTATTGTCATTGTTGTCATCATCATTATTATTATTAGGAAGGTGTCTGAAGAGTGCATTCTGAAGAATGCAGCAAGGAGTGAAGCATGCTTTTCCACCTGACATGCCCAGCACGGTCTCCATGAACGGCACTCCATGGAGTGGGCAGTGCCCACTTCCAAGTGACCCGTTGGGAATGGCACCAGCCACCCTAGACCAGAGGCCATCCAAAGGCACCGAGCTTGTCTCTTCCACCTCTGCGCCAGTCACATTCACTGCCTGGGTCTCCTTGGGTCCTGACACTGAAACAGATTTTTTTTCTTTCCCTCTCAAGTCTAGAGCTCAGATTTCTTAAAGAGGAAGAAAAGTCACACAGAGAATCCTACAGAGGATCCCCTCCCCCCAGCCCCGGCCTGTGCCTAATTAAGTGAGTGGCTTAAGGGACTTGCCTCCTCTTCAAGATTAAGAGGTAGGTGTGAATATTTTCCTCTGGCCCCCTTATATGTTCTTGATTACAGTAATAAAAATGCTAAGCTCTATTGCCTCTCATTGGAGTAAAGGCGGCTGAAAACTCCTCATTCCCTAAAGAACCTAATTGTTGATTCTAGTGCATCTAAACAGGTGTTCTTTAGATTGCTTTTTCTAATGCCTTTTCACTGGAAAGATCAATTTAAATGTTGCTTTGAGCTAATCAGTGATTGCTTCTGTATTCATCCAAATTTATATCTTGCTTCTGTGTGCTAGATGAGACATTACTTTCAAAGTCTACAAACTTAAATAAGGGAGGTGATTTCTAATTTAGCTCTTTGTCCTCTTCTGTCTTCCATATTTTATGCAAAATATGCATGTATTTCTTTTTATTATTTAAAATCCTAGTCCTGAGTCATCTTCAGATGTCCTATAGCGCCACGTGTGGTATGTCCCACAGAGGGGGTATTTGGTAAGTATCTGTGGAAAAGATAAATTCACGCCCTCACTTGGATTGCAAGCACATTGGATTTGTGGGCCCTGGGTGTCTGAGTTCAGGAATTCTTTCAATATTGTCTGAACTTTCTTGTGTCTGCATCTGTATTTATTCTGCTCTCTCTGCCTAGAATTTCCCCAGTCCCATCTCTCGGAAAACTCACATTCACGCAAGGTTCTCATCAAATGCCAGCTGCTCCAGGAAACCAGGCCGCAATATCCACCCAGCTCTCCTGAAGTCAGTCTGCGGACAAAGGATCTGCAGAGGGTTGCATCTAGTGTCCAAACCTCACAGTATGCTGGGCCTCTCTGATTTATCTCATCCATGGGTATTTGCACCCAGCCTTTTTTCACCCATTGTTAGCATGTCAAACTGCTTCAGGCGACACAGAAGGTGTACTCCGCTGAACCACAGGGGTGGACTAAAAAACAGTCATTGCTTAATGAATTGTAGGTGTATAGTTTTAAAGAAGATATTTTATTTAGTTTTTAATGTTTTATTTATTTTTGAGAGAGAGAGAGCAGGGGGCCGAGGGTAGAGAGAGAGGGAGACACAGAATCCGAAGCAGGCTGCATGCTCTGAGCTGTCAGAAAAGAGCCCAATGCGGGGCTTGAACCCATGAGACATGAGATCATGACTTGAGCCAAAGTTGGACACTTAACTGACTGAACCACCCAGGCGCCACAAGAATGACATTTTCAAAGTAGAGTGTACCTGGATAGAGAAATGATGGAGGTGGCTCTTCAATCAAGTCCTCAGAACATAGTCCTTTAGAACTTGCAGGCCATCTATCAGCACTCTCTCTTTCAAGTGCAAAGAACCTCTGGCTTGGAGAGTCCTGGGTCTCACTTAAGGTCACCTGGCAGGGAAAAACCAGAGTTCAGCTGGCAGATCTTCTGGAGTGCTCTTCCAGACATACCTTCAGGCATAACTTAACATGTATCAGTTTATCCTTGTGTATAAAGTACACTTCATGATTGGTGACTGGCTAACTATTCATAGTTCCCCACTCCCTCCCTTTTAGTGCCTGTTTCTAAGCAGCAAAGTTGTGGTTCAGTGACTTCTGTCTGGATAATATGAAAACAGGGCATCGAGCCAATTCTGATGAGCTAACTATTTCCCTAAATTATCATGCCTAAGCAAAAGGCCCCAAACCTGCTGTTCAACACTTATCACTGGATCTGGGGGATGGGGTGTACACAGGCACATCATCAAATAGCTGGAATTCTACATTCACGATTGTCAAGCAGTGAAAATTGTCATCCTTAGAAATGACTGACAGTTCCCCTGCCTCATTTCTGCTACATTGAGTTAGGTAAAGGAAAAAAATCACCTTCACTCTTTTTACAGATTTCTTGCTGAAGACGCATGTGACAAGACTATAAAATTTCACCAGAAATTGATGGGAGAATGACACTTCAAAGTGCCTGAAAGACTTTGCAAAAGGTCCCAATTAGCAGAATGCAGCTAACACCTTTAAAAAAAAAAAAAAGAAAGAAAATAGAATAAATGTTGCAGTGGGAATGAATCTTGCCCGGAGTGCTGGGTTGTTGGCTGATTGCCTGGCAAGAGTGGTGGCCAGGACTTGCCAGCTGGCTGATCCACACGCCTATAAAGGATGCGGTCAGCTTACACCTTGGCAAGCTATGATTTTGATGGAAATCTTAGAGGTCGGCAGGCGTTCTCCCTAGTAAAGTACGTTAGATCAGGTCATTGCTTTTATTTGAGTGAAGAAAATATCCTGATGGCCAGGATTAGGAGGACTAAGTCGGTACTCTGCTCCAAAGGAGAATTCATTACTGCATCAGAAGGGATATATGCCCTAAAGGAGACACAGGTTGTAATTGAAGGTGGCACATTCATCTAATCCCCACGTTAAACCTGTCATGCCACCGAAGCAAACCAACTGGCTCACCAACAACCACACATCTTCCCACAAGTTCCACTCAACAACCAGTTTTTCAAACTCTGAAGTCCAAAGCTACTGCTCTCCTACCCTCCTATGTTTACTTATATTCACCAATGAGTAGTTGTTTTGCTTGTTTTGTTTGTTTGTTTTTGATTTTTTTAATGTTTATTTATTTTTGAGACACAGCGAGAGACAGAGTACAAGCTGGGGAGGGGCAGACTGAGGGAGACACAGAATCTGAAGCAGGGTCCAGACTCTGAGCTGTCGGCACAGAGGCCAGAACTCAGGAGCCGTGAGATCATGATTTGAGCCTAAGTTGGATGCTTAACCAACTGAGCCACCCAGGTGCCCCTCTTAAGTGCTATTTTTTAAAAAAATTTTAATGTTTATTTATTTTTGAAAGAGAAAGAGAGAGAGACCCAGAGTGTGAGTGGGGGAGGGTCAGAGAGAGAGGGAGACACAGAATCCAAAGCAGGCTCCAGGTTCTAAGCTCTTAACTGACTGAGCCACCCAGGCGCCCTTTATGTGGCATTTTATTTTTATTTAAAAATTTTTTAAAATGTTTTATTTATTTCTGAGAGAGAGAGAGAGAGAGCAGGGGAGGGTCAGAGAGAGAGGGAGACACAGAATCTGAAACAAGCTCCAGGCTCTGAGCTAGCTGTCAGCACAGAGCCCAACGTGGGGCTCGAACTCATAACTGTGAGATCATGACCTGAGCCACACGCTTAACCGACTGAGCCACACAGGGGCCCCTTAAGTGCCATTTTAAAACAGAGTTGCTAAACCATGAGAGACTCTTAAATATAGAGAACAAACTAATGGTTGCTGGAGGGGAGGTGAAGGGGGATGCGCTAAATGGGAGTTGGGCTAAAATCGGTGCTAATCATGACCTGAGCCGAAGTTGGACATTTAACCAACTGAACTACTCAGGCGCCCCTTCCCCTTTTTGTTTTGCATAGATCTGAAGCCAGGGATCAGATGTAAACATTCTAGTAGCCCCACAATGGCTAGTTTAGTGCTTTTCACCTGGAGGCACTCTGTGAATGACAAAACGGCAAAAAGAGCTTCCATATCCAGAGTCCATACTGAAAATTTAAAAACCAGATTTAAAAACTGACAAAAAATTGATATCTCTATCAGTCCCCCAAATGGATTTATTTTTTGAAATTTATTAAAAACTGATTTTAATATTTATTTTTTAAACACAGGAAAAAATACAGTGAACAAGTTTAAAAGCCAAATACAGAATGTTAAAAGCATTTGCAAGACTTTAGATGTCAATAACAAATGGTCAATATCCTTACTAAAGAAGAGTGGACAAAGAACATAATCTGGGAATTTACAAAATGTGAAATGACTATTTAACATATGAAAGCATTTTCAACCTGAACGGTAATGAATACAAATGGAACCAGATACCTCTTTTTATTTACCATATAAAGAAAAACCCGAATTGTCCTGGATATGAGTTATTTGACGCTTTCATACACTGCCCACGCCAATGCAAAATAAAACCAGCTTTCTGGAGGGCAAATTGTCAATTACTGTCAATACATATTCAATGTATATTTGAAGGTTTAACTGTATGACTGCAGAAATTCATCCCAATTGAATGAGTAAATACCAGATAAATATTTAAAGATTTGTGGACAAGCAAACCAAAAAAGCCTAAATGTTGAACAGAAGATTAATCAAATAAGGAAAACTACATCCATTCCATCATGCAGCCATTAAATTGGTAAAATTGATATCTATTAATTGGAAGAGAAAGATGGTTACAACATATTAAGAGAAAAACTACAGGCAATAGAAAAGTATGATCAAGTTTTTGAAAAACACATTTATACATATGCACTGATATGCATATACATGCATATTTACACACACACACATACACACACACACACACACACACACAGATAACACGTATAGGTTTACCTCTGCAAGGTAGCCATGATTTATGCCTTTCTCAGAGTTGTTTTCTTTCTTTTTTTTTTACAAATAGTTTATTGTCAAGTTGGTTTCCATATAACATCCAGTACTCATCCCCACAAGTGCCCTCCTCCATGCCCATCTCCCCCCTCCCTCCCACACCCATCAGTTCAGAGTTGTTTTCATATGAAAAAATTAATTGAGCTTAGCTCTGTGATAATAAATATGAGGGTTTTGTTCAAACGTATAATGTTTTATTATTTATTTATATTTTTATTCTTTTTATTTTCAAACATACTTAAAAGTTTTAAAAACTGAAGATTGTGGGGAGGCTGGGTGGCTCAGTCAGTTGACCTTCCGACTCTTGATTTCAGCTTGGATCATGATCCCAGGGTCATGAGATTGAACTCTGCACTGGGTTCTATGCTGAGTGTGGAGCCTGCTTAAGATTCTCTTTTGCTCCCTTTCCCCTACTTGCTTGCTCTCTTTCTCTCAAATTAAAAATTTTAAATATATATGTAAAATAAAAACCAAAGATTTAATTGAGCTGACAAAGGTTTGGACATACAGAAGAGTATACCAGAGGATTTGAAGGAGAACTTCTACAGATGCTTGCATGATTAATGATAAATGTATTAATTGATTTTTTTGCCTTGCCAGAAAT